GAAATGTACGGAAAATCGCATAATTCCTTTAAAAATATCTCAAACTAGGAATTTTACTCACTATTTCCATAAATGTCTTTTCTACATATGATAGAGACAGTTAAAAAGATGACACTTCTTTTTAACTTTCAAACGCAGATAATTTTGACACACATGGATTTGAAGGCTCAAATTTGGATGGTGAGCTGTAAACACTATTACTGATAAGTTTAGCTAAAAAATTCCCGTTTCTGAGACTAAGGTACGATTGGTCAAAAAATGGCCCTACATGTCCCTTTAATATTTTATTTCCAATTATTCTCAAAGCACATTTTGTATATTAAATGAAGAAATGATTTTGGTTCTCTGAAGAAATCCATGAAAATTAGTCCCCACAAATAATAAGAATGAATAAAGAGAAATGAACTATAGATGAGGGAGTTTTATGACAATGATTGAATATATTGATGGAAATTGTGAGTAAAATTCTGTTTTTATGCACTTGTTTGTCCCTTTGTATTAGTTACACCCACAGGGCACACAAGGTTTAGGTGTAGTATATAATAAAGCTTGTTTATATTCAACTTCCTGTGCTCCTCAAGAGAAAGCAAGATCTACTTTTCTCTGACAGAAGTAACTGTGTTCACAGAAGTATGTCCAGTCGATTTCAGTATAAAAGTGGAGAATGATTTCAGATCGAGTCTGTGATAAATATTGTCAACAAAATATACAAAGAGAATATTAAGATATTATACTACAGTCTAGAGTCCAGTTTTATTGTATGTGATATAGGGAGCTAATTAATTCAGTATTCAGACTTGGATCTACAAGCTAATAGCCTAACAATCAGCCTGAATTAAGCGGGACACTGAGCTCTGTTTCGTAGGTTAGGATTGGTTCAAACATGGAAAGTCTTATCCCATTGGCTTAACGTTGGTTTTCTCATTCTATTTTTAGGCATAAGCGTTCTGCGCCATGCTACATCCAAAGCATATCACGTGACCCTTGTATGTAACTGGGTCAGGTCAGGTCAACAAGAGGAATTCCTACCCAAAATTGTGTCCAGTATCCAACCCAAAGCTGTCATTGATGAGGCTAGAAAACTAATAGCTCAAGTTATTTTGTACTCTGACAGTGATTTGTGAATATTATTTGAAAGGTTAGCAAAAAATCAAAAATAATTTGTTACATAGTAACACAAATAAGAAGCAATTTTGATATGGCATTGTTATTTTGATTCAAAAATAGCACATTCCTCAGAAAACAAAAATAATGACGATTTTTGAAATAAAAAATCTAGAGTGACTATGAATATAATATGTCCTAGTAAACTATGGTTCTAGTTAATGATATTTGGTGATGAAACGAAAACGATTTAAAAGTTTTGAGCAAATTTAAAATATAAGTAGTTGTTGGTTTTAATGAAGATGATGTAAAACAATATGGTGGATTGTGAAGATGGTGTGATGGGAGAGAATCTGGTATGAAAAAATTACGCTGGCAAATGGTTGAATTTCTAGTGTCTAGTTTTGTTTTGGTACCATGTTTGCAGTAAAAATTTCAGGCACTTTATGCACAATGTCTTGGTAGAATTCATTGAACTATGGAACTATCGTGGATATTTTTTGCAGATTTTTCAGAAATTTAGTAGATCTCAAGATGTCTTCCATCTGCTCCTCGGCAAAAACACCGTTTTTTTTTTAAGATAATTCTTTTTTTCAGAGAATGCTTGGACAAACCTCTTGGAATTGCCAGATTATTTGAACCCATACAGCTGGGTAAACTAGAATAAACACAATAGATGACTTATTCTGTACCAAATTTACAGCTGGGTAAACTAGAATGAGGATAAAAAGTTATTTGAGGCCACGCGTCTTTTGCAAGAAATAGAAATTCAACCAATTGTTTTATTTTGCTATCAATAAATGTATGGAAAGTAATCCATCAGAAAAAGAGAAAAGGAAAAGTTCACGAGGCATTCCTTCAAAGTTTCTACGTAAAATAAAGTCAGTGGCTATGACAGTTGACCTACAAGCGAATTAAAAAGCACATGCACTTTTGGTTGATTTTTCTGGCTGGAGAGATACAACTGAAAATAATGCATAATCCGTAGTCATAGTAACATCCAAGATGAAAACTAAAAGGAATTGGACTAAAACCACAACATCGGTAATTTGTTGTTACTATAGAAACTAAATCATCCAATCACAAATATAATCCAGGTCACTGATTGGTCTATCCAGCATGCAGTAATCCAATCAAAACACTCGCATCAATGATTTAAAACACATTTCACTCCTACTAAATATTCCGATTGAAAACCCCGAAGATTAACACGCAATATCTTCACGTACAACGCTACGCTATTTTTATCAACACATTATTTTGATATTCTCACACAAACACTATTAGCTGATTGGCTAAAATACAGCCATGTTGATTATAGGTGACCAATAAAATCACTCCTATAGAAATTTAAATATTAACCAATAAATATCAATGGCTACATGCAGCAGTTTAATTGGTCTGCAAAATTCAAAATTATTTGTTCCGAATTCACAAAGATAATAAATTAAAATATTGTGTCTCCATAGAAACAGGAAGTGTGTTATCACCTATTAAAAGTATCATTCCTCTCACTTACCGAAGCAATGTCTTGTTGGGGTGACGGCGCTGATTCCTCGCAGGACGTCTGAGATCGAGTCATCGACGATGACATTGCACCAGGCAGAGTCCGTGCATCACTTCCTTGTAGTAAATCGGGCATCGTGTTTGCATAAGCCACTTCTGGGGACTTTGTACCCGATGGTCCATCATTTTTCGATTTTCTTAACGTGTTTCGAAATCCTTCAAATATGGTCTTTCTGGGTTTGGGAGATTCCGAATTGAGTCCATCAGATGAAGTTGAGGATGATGGAGTAGCTTTTTGACCAATCACTTTCAGTTGTTTATCGTTAGTGAGGTCTTTCGATGTTTCTGTCGGAGTGTTCGGACATGACATCTGATCTTCTCCACGTTCAGCTATAGCATCCACCGGAAGCGGATTCGGTACCGATTTACACCGTTCTGGATCTTTACTTTGTTGTGAATGTTTTGACTTTGTTTGGGCGGCGAGAGGAGACGGCCCAGGTGGCCCTCCTTTAGACTGAGGGTGGGACTGAGTCTTACGTAACTGAGAGTCTCTTGGCAAACTGCCAAATTCTGGAGCCGAGCTGTAACAAATTTTAAACAAATGCTAAGGAACAGGAGAAGGTTATAGCCAAACTAAATTAAAAGTAGAACCAATGCAAAAATAATTCAAAATTAACATTGATTATAGTTTCAACTGAAAAAGATCAGCACAATTTGAAATTCAAGCAACCTTTCGGAAGAAATTCAGAGCTTATTTTAGATTCTGTGATATCACATCAGTAATTGCCAAAAAATTAAAGAAGGCTTAGACAGTATTTGCAATCATGTCCGGACCATTACACCAAAATTCCAAATTTTGAAAACTGAATCCATATAAACTCTGAGTTTTTCAAGTTAAGGTTTTAACTATTAAAATGTGCTGTATTAACTTTTTTAAACTTTAAGATGATAAAAATATAAAGTAATATTTCTGTGTGGGTACCTTTTTTTAAAACTCAAATAATTCTAAAATATCGTAACATCACAATGTTGTTGGTCTGAAAAAACAGGAAATAAATAAACAAAATATTATTTCTATCTGTCGAAAACAAAAAATATAATCAATTTCATTTCATATTTTAGAGGTATTTTTAATGTTACAATACCCTACTTTTGTATTCTCATGGTCTTCAAAACTAAGGAATTTTACGATTCTTTCCAAAAGACTTTGATCTTTGCCTTATAATGTCAGAATAACATATTGCAAGTAAACAAACCTATATGCAGAGAAGCATAAAGGTAAGCATACCCTGCCTTGCTGGTGACACCAGCCACTGTAGTGTAACAGAGCCAAGTTTATTGTCCAGGACTAGAAAAAGGTAAAAGGAATGTGGCATTTTTGAATTGTGATAGAACTTGATGTCAGATGTATAAACAGAAAGGGTAACATAAGGTGGTAAATATTATCCACCCAGCCTTTAGAAGTAGTCAATATATTTTCATTATTAGTAACGATTGAATTGACAGGTATCAGGAAATATGTGAATCAGAATCTAACAATGATGTCCAGATCTAAAATGACTCATGAAGTTAGTAGAAGCAAAAAGAAGAGCAAGACTTCCGAGACGAAAGTTTAGGTTAAAAATTCTCCAATTTTGCAGACTTAATTCTTAGTCACAGAATCAGTTAGCTCAGCATTCTGTATATTTTGAATATTTTGACTGAATATTTGTCCTTTTTTTCTCAGATGAAGAATATGATTTAAGTGTTGGTGAATAAACTGTGAAAATCTATAGGAAGTGATGGGATTTCAGGGTTCTTTTTTAACAATTCCACTTTTATCACATTTTTTCCAGTTCTGCAAATTTCACATGAGAAATAGATTGTGAGCTTTTATTTCATTTCACTTCAGCATTTTCTATTTAGTTACATCATATCTTATTTTTCCTTCACTCAAGGGAAAAATCTTACGCATTTCTGAGATTACAAAAAATCACACTTATTTAAACTTTCTATCGCATAATTCTGTAGCCATGGCAATGATCATTTTATTCAAACAACCTTCAAAATCAAGTCAAGTTTCAAATTATGATTTTGTTAATTTCAGTCCTGATGAGGATTCAATATCCAAAACACACCTGAACAACATAAGATGAGTAAATCATCAAGCGTTGATACATGTTCAAAATGTTGATCTGTCCATTCAATAGAAATTTCTAGAGTTTGACTTCGTTAAATAAATATCAACAGCAGAAATATTACTTTATATATAATGATACATTGTTATCCTTAGAATTGTTAACAAAACGGATGGTTTCATGCAAAAAAACAGAACTAGTAGAAGTTTGATCCATGCTGTGAGATTATATGGTTAGAATAATGAGTTATGTTGAACAAACAGAAGAATGTACTTACAGTTCTTTGGTCAGTTCTTTTTGATAGGCTATTGGTGATTGCAAGGCTGAAAAATTAGCAAAATCAAATTTATTATATGTCTTCTGACATCCATATTTTGTATAATAATATACACAAGAGATTGTATTCTTGCAACGAGCTAAGCGCTAGGATATCCTAGAAACAGTGTTAGAAGTTAAGACCCTAGGATATCCTAGACACAGTGTTAGAAGTTAAGAGCTAGGATATCCTAGAAACAGTGTTAGAAGTTAAGAGCCTAGGATATCCTAGACACAGTGTTAGAAGTTAAGAGCCTAGGATATCCTAGACACAGTGCTAGAAGTTATGACCCTAGGATATCCTAGAAACAGTGCTAGAAGTTATGACCCTAGGATATCCAAGAAACAGTGCTAGAAGTTATGACCCTAGGATATCCTAGAAACAGTGCTAGAAGTTATGACCCTAGGATATCCAAGAAACAGTGTTAGAAGTTATGACCCTAGGATATCCTAGAAACAGTGCTAGAAGTTATGACCCTAGGATATCCAAGAAACAGTGTTAGAAGTTATGACCCTAGGATATCCTAGAAACAGTGTTAAAAGTTATGACCCTAGGATATCCAAGAAACAGTGCTAGAAGTTATGACCCTAGGATATCCTAGAAACAGTGCTAGAAGTTATAACCCTAGGATATCCAAGAAACAGTGTTAGAAGTTATGACCCTAGGATATCCTAGAAACAGTGTTAAAAGTTATGACCCTAGGATATCCAAGAAACAGTGCTGGAAGTTATGACCCTAGGATATCCAAGAAACAGTGCTAGAAGTTATGACCCTAGGATATCCTAGAAACAGTGCTAGAAGTTATGACCCTAGGATATCCTAGAAACAGTGCTAGAAGTTAAGAGCCTAGGATATCCTAGAAACAGTGTTAGAAGTTATGACCCTAGGATATCCTAGAAACAGTGTTAAAAGTTATGACCCTAGGATATCCAAGAAACAGTGCTAGAAGTTATGACCCTAGGATATCCTAGAAACAGTGTTAAAAGTTATGACCCTAGGATATCCAAGAAACAGTGCTAGAAGTTATGACCCTAGGATATCCTAGAAACAGTGTTAGAAGTTAAAACCCTAGGATATCCTAGAAACAGTGCTAGAAGTTATAACCCTAGGATATCCAAGAAACAGTGTTAGAAGTTATGACCCTAGGATATCCTAGAAACAGTGTTAAAAGTTATGACCCTAGGATATCCTAGAAACAGTGCTAGAAGTTATGACTTTTCAAAATAAAATCAAGATCTATCTTGACATACTACTAGTGTATAGTGGTTCAGAGAATACAAAGATGTACTTTCAAGGATTAGTTTATTTTGTTTCAAGGTAGAATAAACAGTAATTGAAACTTCAACACATCAACTCTATGTGTTCATTTCATTTTAAACTACCTTCATATAAAAAAGACTGCTCATAGTTATGTTTTAAAAAGTCATCCGATAACTTTATTTACTTTATTGTATACTAACTACAAGTCAAACTTTTATTTAGAAAAGTCCAACAGATAGCTGAACCTTAGATGTTTGATACAGAAGGATTTAGCCGAATTGTCTAGCAAAGATCAACTAATTGGCAGTTTTTGGGGTTGGACGGTTTTCATAGTAAAGATATGAATGAATTGTATCATGCTTTTGTCGAGACTTAAGCTTTTGGCAGATATGTGGGGGAAACCGATGTTCGGGTGGTGCGGTCTTCACAGTTTTCACTGTATTAGCTGTGATAAGAATGAAGACCACTTTATCTCATTTAGTTTATTTCGCATCCAAGAAGAGATGGAAACAATTTATAAAAATAACTAACCTCTAAGAAAGTCGCCTTGCATATCTAAAATACTTCTAATTTCTTTCACCCACGTATCTTTATTATCAGCTGATGGGGCTTGAATTATCAATTTTAAATCTGACCCTGGCGTTCTATCTATTAACATAAATTTGGTGGGGTCGTTTTCTACAGTATTAGACATTGCCATCTTATTGACCTGAAATTGTAACGAGTTTGATGTTAATTAATCTTAATTAAATGGATTATCTGTAGTTGGACATATTCTTAACCCTTTGAACCCTGAGTGTGAATGAAATATAACATCATATACCCTGAACTCTGAAGTAATAAAAGTAAAAGTGTATGACGTTAACGTTGTATGACGTCACTTAGTAACGACCGGTATACCGGCTGCTCGGGTATATATTGCGTTAGTGTGCAGCCGGTAAACCGGCCGCTAGGGATGAAAGGGTTAAATCCTTTGTTATTCTTTATTTATTGATGTCTGATTATAGAATGGTTCCATCAGAAGTAGGATATTGGAAAAATATCTTTAACACTTCAGCAAATTGAATATCTGGTCAACTTTATTCAACGTTTAAATTCAAAGTTATTCTTGCTTAGATAAACAAAATTTAACAGGACTAAAATAAGCCAATTATTTGATCATTCTCGGCAATACAGATATGTTTATAGCAAGAAAATGACAGCTATATCTACCCAATATTTGTCCTGGTATATTATGTCATAAGGAGAAAATTTGACACATCTATAAATCTAAAGCGCAATCCATGAGCTGGCAAATCATCGAGGTAGACTTTATTGGCTAATGAAATCAAGGTAGACTTGAATGAATGAGAGACTCGAGTATAATAGTATCCTGGAGCATTCAAGATAGAATGACAAAGCCAGCTGTCAATTGAAAGAGCAGGTACTTTCTGCCTCTTACACTTCACCTTACTATGTCATTATCTTTGACCTAAAAAATGATAATTTAAAAATAGAATTCTGAATACCTTGACACTATTTTTGAACACATAATTGGCGTTGGAAAAATCTCCTTTTCGTTTCTCTGTCATTTCGCTGAAGATAATGATTTGTTCGAATAAAAACACCCGTCGTTCTTTAAATTTCTGTTGGCCAGATGGAGAGACTTCCGCCACTAGTAATGTGTCCTGAAAAAAAAATAAAAACTTGAAAGTTGTAAAAAAAACTGGTCTGGTCTAAACATATCAAAGGATTTGTGTTATAAGAACCTTTATAATGTACCTTCATCTCAGAAAGAATAAATATTGATTGTGGTCTGAAAATCATACTTACTTGTAGGAGTAATTTCCCTTGAGCAGTAATTTTACCCTGAAATAATAAGACAATGGAAAGGATGAAATGAAAGATTTTTACATCTTACTTTTCTGCTCCAGTTTTACTATTTGGACTAATGAAGATATGTAACACCATGCAGTGTGTAATGAAGAAAACTTCAGCTTTTTCCTTTCCAATTGAACTGTCAAGGGATCTTTGACTAAGTGTACCATCAGACACATGATCTGTAGGACAGTGTGCAATAAGGGAGAAGACTATTACTCACATCAAAGCCTTGTAACCTTCCGACTTGCATCATATCATTTGCAGCTTTAGGTACCACTCTCATTACACGTTGAGCTTTCTTTAAATCTGTGACATCTAATCCTGCTCGCTCTGTATATTTACTTATATCCTATAATATAGATTAACAACATTAAAGATGGGTTTCCTTGTTTTTATAGAGTCAAATTAAGTAAACTATTTGATTAATTGGTGTTTCTAATGAATTATCACATATTCTTAATCATATCATTATGTTCTTATTGCATATAATTATAGATGGGTTTCCTTATTTTTTAGTGTCAATTTAATCAAACTATTTGATTAATTGATGTTTCTAATGAATTATCATGTATTCTTAATCATATATTTTCTGATTGGTCAGTCACAAAAATGATTTTGAATTCAAATCTGGCTTTATCCACCAATCAGATTACTGTATTTCTTAAAATCATAGTTTTATCTTAGTTAAGTTTTTATGAAACAGGTCCCATGACTAAAAAGTTATTCCTACCTTTAACAATAGTTGATATTTCATGATCCTTTGTACAGGTTTAATCAGAAGATCAGGTAGTGTTAAACGATGACCCATTTTTTGTCGAATATCCTAAAAAATTCAAATACCTCATTAAATATAAATCAATCATACCAAATATCATGTAGCTTAGAAAAGCAAGTTGCCAGATCCCTTGTTCAAAACATTTTGAAATCTTTGTACCCGTTTTATTCATTTAGATGAGCCTGGTTCCCGATTCCGCCTTACCACAGGCAAACTAAAAAATTTTCCAAAGAATCTTCATACAGAACACAGAGGTCTGAATCTACCACTGATATTATAAATAGATACAAAGGGGAACAGTCGTCATTTTCGGGGATTGATTGTGCTTTAATAGTCTTAAGAAGTACTAAAACGCACAAAAATTGCATAATCCCTTCAAATATATCTCAAACTAGAAATTTCACTGTCTATTTCCATATATGTGTTTTCTTTATATGGCATAGTCTCACTAGAATTCGAGTTGAATTTTTAACTTCAAATGTTAATAATAATGGATACACATGGATTTGAAGGCTCAAATTTCGACAATGAGCTGTGAACACTATGACTGATTATGTAAGCTAAAAAAAATTCCTGTATCTGAAACTAAGGTACGATTTGTTGAACAGATAGTGAAGGTGCTCCTTTAAAACATGTCCAACAGGCCTCTTAAGTGCCCCTAGACACTCAATGCTTTTATTTGTACCATTTCATATTTTCTCAAACAGGAGAATCTTATGATTATGAAAACAAGTAGAAAGATATTTTACAAAATAATAAAATACTTACTTCAAAATATGTATCTAAATATTCAGCAACTAAAAACTCAGACTTCGGTTTATTCTCACAATATTTTACATACATATACAGCCTTCTCTCCTAAAAACAGATAAGATATACAGTATTAATACCATACACCCTTTGTTGACATTATGGTGTTTAGTCCAACCCTGCAATATGATGTTTGATAGTACATTATGGTGTTTAGTGGAACCGCAATATTGGTAACCCGGATGTGACCTGATATGGATGGAGATAACAGGAAGTGAATGAGTAACTAGGGACTCTAGAGACACTGTTTATATGTGAGTGGAATTTGGAAGTCATGTTGACTGGTGTTTTATATATATGATGTAATGAATTAAATCAAAATTTACACCCTTGTCATGCCAAAGACCCCAGGCCAGGTCGAACAGCTGACTTCTAAAAACATCATAAGGTCATCAAATTTTCAAATAAAAATCAGGATAAGATGGATACTTACATATCTAACAAATAATAGGCCAAGTCTTTCTGGTTCCTCGTCACATTTCTCTATTTCAGCTTGAAATGTTCTGAAATAAAATTAATACTTCATGTTAACATGCAAAGTCACTTTACGAGATCAATTTGGAATAGTCATACCCCACAACATAATGGTATTATGACGTCTTACTTTCCAGCACTGCCCACAGCAGTGAGCAAAATAGATCATAATAGATACAGTGATATCAGTACACGAAGAAATTTAAACAAATACTTTGACTGGAAATTCAAATTCTAGTGATTATTATGTCAATCAGTTTCAAGAATTTTGGAACTTTGTGTTAAAAGTCAGTTTGTAAGAAGTGATTTCAATTCAAATTGATTCACTTTATAACATTGTTGACTAGTGCTAAAAAATATCTCTGATTAGATAATGGACATCTGGCCACGTATTCTCGAAACAATCTTAGCTCTAGGATGTCCTAGGTTCTTATCTTCTAACATTGATTCTAGGATATACTAGCTCTAAGATGGTTTCACGAATACGTGGCCAGATTCTGAAAAAGGCAATAAATAGCTTGAAACCTTGTAAACTTTTGAACAATAAAACTGCAAAGGCAGTAATCCATAGTATTAGATGAAAATATCTCTTTAAACTTACTCTTTATGCCAGTCATATATCTGATGAATATTACCAAATACTATTTTATCTTTCCCTTCCATATCATCTGGCATTCCATTTTCTTTCATATACCCCATATAACCCTGAAAAATAACATATACCCTCATATAACCCAGGAAAAATAACATATACCCTCATATAACCCAGGAAAAATAACATATACCCTCCCATAACCCTGGAAAAAGAACATATACCCTCATATAACCCAGGAAAAATAACATATAACCCTGAAAAATAACATATAACCTCATATAACCTTAAACTTTCTGATCTGTGTTGGTGCCAGCAATAAATAAAGAAACCCATAATTAGGAACCAGGGAACTGTATTCTCGAAAACGATCTAAGCGCTAGGATTTCCCAGGTTCTTATCTTCTAACATTGATTCTAGGACATCCTAGCGCTAAGATCGTTTCAAGAATACGTGGCCAGGGAACTGTATAAGTTGATCAATGAGATTGTAATCCAAGTTTTACTATACCTCAACGACTAGACCCAGATCTTTTACATAATCTCTCTCTGTATCTATCAACTCTTGTATCACAAACCTACAAAATAAAATACCAATATAAATAACAACTAGTCTCGGGTTTATCATTCTGATCCAAAATGGTCAACTGTATGGCAGAATTCCTTTCTCCTCTTCTGCTCACCATTTGATGATGACAATGTAATTTGTTGAAACCTTTTTTACAATAGTGTAGAGTAGTATACTTAAATTTTGTTTCATCATTTATTTTCCTGCTGAGCATTGAGCTAATGAAAGGAAATAGATTATTAAGAAACTAATAGTTGATGTAAAACGTTTTCTTCTTGCACGCTGCATGAGGATACTCAAAGTTCTCAAACAAACTTCCAAAAAAAATATGACACTTACTCTCGTTTTTTGAGGTATTTTGCTTTATCATTCTCGGAATCTTTCCCATCAGATTTATCATCATCTTCATCTTTATCATCAACTAGTGATGCTCCTAGACCTAGACTCGGATCAAACTTAGCACCAGAATCATTGCCTGGTTCCTGAAAATAAGCATTAAATATTTCTAATAATTTCTTTCTGTAAAACATTTTGTTTTAAAAAAGGTGTGAGGGGGATGTTTTTATATCTTAAGTTGTCTGGTTCCTGAAAATAAGCATTAAATATTTCTAATAATTTCTTTCTGTAAAACATTTTGTTTTAAAAAAGGTGTGAGGGGGATGTTTTTATATCTGAAGATGCCTGGTTCCTGAAAATATAGTAAAATATTCACTAAAGAAATAGATTAATAAATCTAAGGAACATCTTCTAGAAAAATGCAATTCTGGTTCTTTGTTTATGCTTTTTTTTTTTCGCAGGTTACTACACAAAACATACAGTTTCTAATTCTAATGAGAATGGAATGTTTCAGACAGTAAGCTCAATTCATCTATTAACAAATAAGTGAAATTTTTAAGGATTTTGATCCTGGGGCAAAATACTGAATTACTTTAAACTGTTTTCTTAAAATAACTTCCCAGCTTATTTTGTGTTTTTTTTATTTGATAATAGATTTGTGTTAAGTAGAGTTTTTATATCTAAAGTGGAGATTATGACATAACAAAAACATAAAAAAATTTGAGGAGATTAACATTTTATGATTTATTTTTTTATTAAATTAAAACTTTGTCCACATTTTCAAAATATTTAACTATTAACTAATGATAAGTGAGTGAAGTAGCCATTTGAACCTATACCAACAAAATATATGTTAATATTTTTCTTTTTTGAATACAGCATCATTTGATTCTACTTTGGCAAGAAAATCACCAGAAAATATCAAAATTAAAGGTGTGTTAAAAACTTGTGATAGAGTGAGATTTAGAAATCCCAATAAAAGCACTGGCCTAGGTCACAAAACAGAGATAACTTTTGATTATTATAAGGTGTTTTTTTAGTAAGAAAGAACAGATATGTTTATTAAAATCAAACAATTATTGTCCATTTGTCCAAGAGCATGTTAACTAAATTTACACCCCTCAATTACTTGATTTATTTTGATATTTCTATTAAGAGAATCACCAAGCCTCAAGGCATGTTAAATTATTAGATCATAATTCAATATTTTATGACCAATACAAATCAAGATTTTAGCAATTTGTAACCCTCGGCCTCAGGCAATGTGAAGTGTTTAATGTTTGTTTTTATTCTATTCTATTGCTAGTTTTTAGGCAAACATTATAAAAAATGTAGCCAATGCTCACTCTGCATGAATACCAGATGAAGACCAAATAGCTCTAACTTTGTGTCTTAATGTCTACTGTCCATCTCTAGGATGATATTCTCATTAACAATGTCCATCCAATATCACCAATTATATCAATTCATCGAAATAACTTAAGCTCTGTACTAGTATAATAAAATGGTGCTAACAAGGAAAATTGGTCAGAAATGATGTCATAGTTTCCATCCTGTTTGTTTATTTGTAAAAGTTTCATTTGAATCAATTTACTGTAAAATAATAACTTATTAAACACCATGGCAACAGAATTAATATGACAATTATCTTACCTTTCTATGTTTAACAATATTTTCAATTTCTGTGGCTAGATCTAATGAACTTGCTGCTTCTGTTTGTGTCTTTAACGAGGTGACCTATAATTAACACCAGGATTAATTAATAATATATGATTCTACACAATAAGATTATCAATATCAAGGGGCATATTATCATATATCAGTAATATAACACATCAAAATAAAAAGTTGCTCGATCTACTGTCAGAAAGGCTCATCCTTCTCAGAGAAAGTCATAAAAAGCACAAGACTAAGAACTCTGAATGAATATTTAAATACTCATTCTGCAATATCTCAGGATTTCCGTAAAGGTATGAACAAAATGCTAAAATCTCTGTTACGTTTTTAGTCTCAATCGCCACAGTTCGTTTAAACGATATTTGATTACTTTACATATTTATTTTTCCATCAATATTACTAAGCTTTCCGAAACAAGTCACAGACTATGCCAATGTGTCAGCAAATTTGGCACAGTTTGGCATACAATAGTGAAAACACAGCACAAAGCGATATCTAAATTAATATTTGAAATTAAAAATAGAAACTAACCTCATCTTGTGAGTTATCCTGATTTGGTTTGAAGGAATGATCTTGTATTTCCATGGGAGGCGGAATCTCGATATCCTGTGCTGGTTCTGGCTCCTCGTTGGTCACCTGTAACGACCCTTTCGGTGAAACCATGGCAACTTGATTAGCCATCTGATCGGCATTCTGAGATCCTTCGGACTGGTCCTTTAAAAAGAACCGAGTAAAATATTTAAACTTGTGGCTAATGCTCATCATGGCTAAGATTTGCAACGTCTTCCAACATCTCGTGAGAAATGACGTTTTCAAAATGAGACAATGGCTTGAAGATGAGGCATATGAAAATAAAAATAAAAGCTCATTTTGAGTAAATGTGTCATGCAGTTTTTGTTTGTGTGTTTTGTTTGTTGTTATGTGTATGTTTCATACCTGTTTTGACTCAATGTAGCTGCAAGTTTTTTATACGTCATTTTTTTAAACACCCGTTTGTTTTTGTCACTGGTTTACATTAAAAACAATAAAAAGACTTGCAACTTACTTTTTTAACTTGACTCAGTTTCCTGCTATTGTATAATTCTCGTAATAATATACAAACAATAGCTGATGACTAAATATAAACCTACCTTTTCTTCCGAAGGCTGGTTAACAGTCTCTAGACTATATTTTTGAGACTTAGAACTCCGACATGGACAGAATGCTTTGATTATCCAGTCACTCATGTCCATTCTATCTTTCATTCCTTCATTGAATTGAGTCTTTTCACATTGAGAGTAGTCCATTTGAAATGGTCAGTTTCCACGATGGATACTAAATTTTCAACACTTATTTCATTTCAAGTTTAAGTTCAACGAAATTTAAGTCTTTATGTTTTCTCTGATTTAACTGTAAGAAATAGTCGAATGTTTAAACTGGGACGATAATCCTGGTAGACTAGATGAAATGAAATAAAATGAATGGAGTTTTACATCCTACATTTCTGCACCATGTGGGCTAATGAAGACAGAGTAAACTAGATGAAGGTTAAAGGAGAAGGTTCAGCTTTATTCTGTATTTTATATCCACTAGGGCTTAGATTCAGCAAAACGTGTACATTTTTTCAATTTAACTGGAACCTCAAAATTTTATAGAATTCTTGTCAAAGACTATGTCTTTATAAGACACAAAGGCATCTCATAAATTTCTTTTTTTTTCACTCAAATGAAGCTGAAAACGTGCTTTAAAACATCTTCTAAATAAACGACAAAGAATTAGTAGTTCCATTGCACCATCAAAAAGATGTATTTTTCACACCGATGTCCTACTAGCAGTAATCATACAGAATTCTCTGGGAATTTCTTTGATAAGATTTAAGATTAAGATAATTAGACCTGGAAAGACCTAACACCTATCGTTTAGTTATCATTTTTTTCCCATCAACAAATTTCACGAGTCAGCCATCTTAAAACCTGGTATCACTCTATATCAGATATAATCATAAACATGACAACCATATACGATTTTCAACTTTGATTTAAATTCATCTATATTGACATGAAAACACATTTAAACACAACTTTAACCCTGTGCCAGTGTTTTCTGTTGAATAGTGACTAGTTGCTTGTCAATAGTAGCTGGTTTCTTTTCAACCACCTTAATCTCTATATCATATATAATATAATGAAGTCTTACATTCCTCATCACTTCTCCAGATACACAAAATAAAATGATATCCTACTTGATGCTTCCTATTGAGCTAGTAATATAAAAAAGGAGTTTTACATCCTCTTTCCCTGGTCGAGCTTGGGACAATGAAGACCAATTAGATCATGACTAACAACTCTATCATTTCATGATAATACTCAGAGTGTGTACTTGCATAAAGATGCAATAATACCTTGACTCAGTACACCTACAATATTCAACCTACTTCAGTACACCTCCCTACCAACAACTGCTTTCTTCAATATTTGTTTAAATCCCTGTTTTGGGCGTTATTCTACATTAATCTTAGTTAGTCATTTCAATACTAAATGCAAATTTATAACCAATTATTTAAAAGCGTTCACAAAAATTACTGTTTAAGTTATAACTGAAAGGGAACAAAAATCAGGTGTACCTGGTGAATACAGTCAGTAGTCTAGAGCTCTAGTCAGACATGACTGGTAAATACGGTAAAAATTTATAGTCTAGAGCTCTAGTCAGACCTGACTGGTAAATACAGTCAAATTAACAGTCTAGAGATCTAGTCAGACCTAACTGGTAAATACAGTCAAATCAACAGTCTAGAGCTCTAGTCAAACATGACTGGTAAATACAGTAAGATCAACAATAGTCAAGTTAGTAAACTAGAGCTCTAGTCAAACATGACTGGTAAATACAGTCAAATCAACAATCTAGAGCTCTAGTTAGAGATGACTGTACAAATCAACTTCTCTAATGGAAAAAAAAAACTTTACTTCTAGTGCATCTACACTGAACAAACCTTCCTTTTAAATTATTATTTTATCTTTGACAGTCTTCGTTGTCAAATAAAAAAAATGTGGTTAAAAAAAAATCTGTCTGCAGATCAGCATGGTTTGTTGAAATAGATCTTTCTTTTTCTTTCAAGATTATCAAAAGGCTGCAGTGCAAATGTACCAGCAATGACATTTATTTTGCTGTGTTTGAAATGGATTAGGTTTAGTATACATGTAATATAACACTTAACATCAATTTGTGATCACTGTCAATAACTCAGCATCAGTGGGGTTTCTCGGGGGGCCCTGAAAAGATGCTGGCCTAGCTTTTGTCCCCAGACATTCAAATTTTCACAATTTTATATCAATTTACAGTGAAAACATAGCCTGTGGCCCACCTGGAAAATTTTGTGACCCTTGCTCGGCCCCCTCAACTAATTTCTCCTAGAAATGCCACGGCTCAGCATCTCTGTCAGTAAATATAAATTATGACATTAGATATACAAGATGGTGCAAAAATACCTCCCTGAATTATCTAAGATTGACCAGCAATTTCTTAGCGTAACATATTGATTTTAGGGTAAGTAGGTCAGTGGAAGGATATACTCAACTAAACATAACTACTTTAATTTCAAATACAGGATGTACTTCCTTGATATATACAGTTGATATAACATCTAGCCAATTTATATCAAACATTTGGCAATAACACATAAATATATGCAAGAAAAACCTTTGACCAGCGGCAGGGGCAGCCTGCAAAAATCTCATAACTAAGTTAGAAATTCGTGCAATCTCAGCTGTTTCTCCCCCCCCTCAGACGTAAACCAGGCTCCGTCACTGCCTTTGACAAATAATGCACTGTACAGGAGTCACTATACAGATTACCCTACTTATAATTTATTTCTATCATTGAAGACTTCTCAATCAGACACAAACTCTAGTTGAAACACAATATCATTAAACTGAAAATACTCAAATAACTAACCATGACCATCAAAGAAACCAATAAGACTGCAGCAGATACCTTCAAAATTTAGAATCTTCTAAAAATAGAAAACCAGTTCAGGACTTATTAATAATCCTCAAATATAGAACAAACCAGGTTGGCATCAATCATATCGAATATCAAAGATTGTAGATTTTAAATGGTTTGAAATTTAATCAGCTGTGAAAGGTAGAAATAAAAAGTTCATTTGAAGTAGGTCAACAGAGTAAAACTACAGGCGACTATCTTGTGATCTAGTAATTTAGGTTATCATTCCTTCTTACTGACCCTACTTTATTAGTCTGTTTTATATGAGCCGTTTTATAATGTCTTGATGGGAAGGCAAACTCCGCCAACAATTACCAGATTGACATTTAAAATTGTCTAGGATTATGAAGCAATTTAGTGTACCATTTTATAGAAAGTACACAAAAAACATTCTTCAAATGACAAAATTCATAAGCTACCAATAGTGGGTCACTCTCTGTAATATGTCTGGTGAATCTATATGAAGATAATAGTACAACAATGGACCAGTATCTCACAGGACAACAAAATATCCTTAAACCATTTAAACATCTAATTGGTCAATCACAAAAAACTGTTACTCAGGTAACTGTGTTTCCTGGATTTTATCTTAGATAATTTTCAAATTCAAAGCCCATTATGTACAATCTGAAAAATGTTGAAAGATTATTAAAGATGGGTTTCCTTATTTTTTAGTGTCAAATTCAGCAAACTATTTGATGTTTGATAATTTGGTGTTTTAATGAATTATCACATATTCTTATTCTTAATCATATCATTATGTTCTTATGGCATATAATTAAAGAGTTTTAACCAATCATAAATGTTGTTCACTCATCGCACCCATCTTTAAGAAAACAGATCTACCTCAATCCCCACTCTTCTCAAAATAATCTATTGATCAATCTAATCCAGACCGTGCCCTAATCCATTATACAATGAATATTGAAAGATATCAATATAAATATGTAACCTGGTCTGTCTGAGTTTATTAATATCATTAATCAATTGTAACCTGTACTAATGACAAATTGTCCTGTAACCTTCAACAGGTTGAGACACCAGCCCTGGGGGACACCAATATCAATCCTTAACCCCCTAAGGCTTCACACTTTCATTAATCCTTCACCCTTCTAGCTTTACACCTTCATTAATCCTTGTCGTTTCAATATTTTACATGTTAATCTTGTTACAATCAAATTTAACACTTTGGTCTTGTTTCAAAAACAAATCTGAATTGCCATTCACAAAGGTGACAGATTGTGAGGTAGCCAAAAATCCATTCTGGATCATTCAAGATGACAAAATCAATGAGGTAGACATGAAATGAGTCCAATAGCCATCCTGGATCATTCAAGATGACAAAATCAATGAGGTAGACATGAAACGAGTCCAATAACTATCTTGAATTTTCAGTTATCAGCTAACAATCCAACTAAATTTCCATTGACACAGATATTATTGACCACAGACATTCTGTGATATTCAACCAACAATACAATTATAAATATAAAAAATCTAGTCAATTATTAAAAGTGGTATATCCACATGTAGTATATAATTTACACAATACAAGATAGCACCCCATTATATCGGGGAAGATCCATTGGAAGTCATTCATCTGTAACGCTAATACACAATACAGCTTACGTTAAACATACAAAAAAAGAATAAAATATGTAATGTATACTATGCTTTGAAGAGACAGATTCGCCTGTTTGACCCATGGTACCTTCGTATCAGAACCTGGAATTTTTTACCTAAGCTAATCAGTAATAATGTTCATATGTCACTGTCGAAATTTGAGTCGTCAAAGTCATGTGTGTCCAGAACTATCTGTGTTTGAAAGTTAAAATGACAACTCGTCTTTCTGGAGATATATATATAAACCCATAATATAATAAACATGTAATTCCTAGTTTGACTTATTTTGAATAAAAGATTTCCGTAGATTTCTAGTACTTCTGATGACAATGTACATATTCCAGACTTAAATCAACCCCCTAAAATGGTGAAGCTGTCCCTTTAAAATATGATTACATGCTTAATAATTGTATAAAGTTACATAATGATAGTAATATGATTCAAATATTTTAATAAGTATAACATTGAAATCTATCAACTCATCTAGCACAGCATTATTGAATATCATATTCTCCAAAAAATAATTAGTGTAGATTTAAACTGATTGGATAAACATTTAAAAAGAAAAAAAAAACTG